CAGTGGCAGACGGTATGGATTAGAGGAGATTTAGGCAGAAGAGTCTGCAGGACTTTTTGTTGCAGCCTGGACTTGGGGAGGGGATGCATAATAGGACTTTCTGTGATGACAGAATGACCACTGTCGCTGCCCAGTGCACTGGTCACGCGTGTCCAGTGAGCACTCAGAAAGAGACTAGTGTGACCAAGAGCTGAATTTATCATTTTATTTCATTCGATTTTAATCTAGCAGGGTGTCCTCTCATGCAGGTAAGTATGTTGTTCCAGGCTTTCTGCTTTTGAACACTTTCCCGCCTAAAGCTTCCTACAACCCTCAGAGCGTATGTTCCCTTTTTACAGATAAAGGAAATAGGGGCTGGAGACAGCCACTGGGCCGGCGTGCATAGTACAGCCAGCACCAACTGGTGACTGGTTGGTTGGGCTCGTCCCTGTGGCCCCGCTTCCCTCCCCAGGAGTAGTCCTGAGCGGTGCATTGCCTCCTGCATACCCTCCTTATCTGTCCTGTTGCAGTTAACAGGCCATGGGTGATAAGCCAGCAGAGACCAAACAAAACTCTGCGAGTCTTCTTCCTGCAACCTCTCACGATCTTCCTAATGGCAGATATTTCTCTTAGGATTTCTGAATGAATGGATTAAGCAAGATCAGCCAGGCTGTGTGCCTTGTTATCTGTAAAGATTTGGTGGCAAAAAGAAAAGAGTGTTTTGGATGAATGGGGTCACAGCAGACTGTGGTGCCCAGCAGAGCAGAAGGAGTTGAGAAGTCACCTCTAGCTCCCTGAGGGATGGCAGCCAGGTCACTGCCTGTCTGTCTCAGTTTTCACTTTTTTTCGAGAGAGATTTTTGCTGTAGGGTGTATGTGCTCACTGGAGAGACAGAGACAGGAGGCAAGAAATCACCCCCCCCCCGAGGGATGACCATGCAGCAGTGCCTTTTCCTTCATTTTCCTCTCGAGATCTTGGGCGCACATGCACCCAGCTTGATTTTTAAGCTGCCAGGTCTGAGACTCAAACCGCGGTCGACTATGTGGGAGTCCAGTGATGTAACCATTATGCCATCCGCTGGTCTCACCTTTTTTTTTTTTTTTTTTTTTAAAGAGATTTTTGCTATGGGGCATCTGTGCTTGCTGGAAAGATAGAAAGCAAGAAATCAGCACCCACCCTGCCCCAGGGGATGGCCACACCCCAATCCCTTCTCCATTCCCCTCTTATGATTTTGGGCACACATCCAGACATGCCTGGCATGAGTTTCAAGCCACTGGGTCTGGTCATGTGGGAGGCCATCTGCTGGTCCTTCAGTTTTCACTTCTGAAAAATTAGGGTCTTTGGTATCACATAACATTGAAGCGATCTCGGATTCTAAAATGCCCTTTAATCTCTCTTTAAATTGCCGAAGGGAGCATGCACTCACCAGAGGGAGAGAGACACAGGTGTGTGCCTGCTTGTTTTTCAAGCCCCTGGGGCCAGAATTCAAACTGCTGTTGGCCATGTGGGATCTGGTTCTCTGTGCTTACCTGCTGTACTTCTGGCTGCCCGCATACTTTCCATTTCATCGGTGCCTTTTGTTTTTGTGAGACAGAGGTTTGACAGGATCTCACCACATCGTTTTTCTCTTGCCCCAGCCTCCCAGTCAGCTAGAGCCCCAGGCATGTGCTACCATGCCTGGACTGTTTAGCTTGGGCCAGAATGAACCCGAGCCTCCTGGGCGGTCCAGCCACAGCGTGGGGCTCCGTCTGGCTTGTGGTGCTGTAGCTGGACCTGCAGGTTTACCTTCTAGATCATCTCTCAGGTGTCGTCTGGGGATGGATAAATGCTGGAGGTTCAGGGTGCCTTAGACTTCAGCTTCGGTGTGGTTTACCATTAGTGACTTCTCGTTAGCACCTCTACTTGAGATATGTGACCTGTCGTGTCTGAGGGACAAACTGAAACAGCGAGCGCTGTCGTGGCAGGGTTCCCAGTCAAACATCAGGGCTCTTTGCCACTCCAAGCCACACTGACCAGATCTTACATGGTTGGCTCTTGAGGGGTAGTGTTGGCTGTGGCCAGATGGAGGTAAACGCAGTAGCCACTTGTAGGGCTATGAGAGGGCTCAGCAAGACACCCGGTGTAAATTGCTCAGCATTTGCCCTGGAATCTAATGAGGGCTCAGAAGGGAGTGGTCAGCGGAGCTGGCAGCAGTGCTGTGGTGAAGTCTGGATCAGCTCTGCAAGGCTGATCCACAGGGGAAGGCTCTGGGTTTGTGTCAGGGGACCTCCCCGAGTATACCAGGCCTGTGCGTGCCCATGACCCACAGGCTGGGCCGGGGGTGGTCATGGTGTCCAGACGCTGTCAGGTGTGCGGTTTCCCTCACTCTCACTCCCTCCCTCCCTCTCTCTCCTCCTCCACCCCTCTTTTATTCTCACTCATGGAGGAAATAAACTTTAGGAACAGTGGTAGTGGGCCAGCACATGACTTGGTGGTTAAGGCGCTGAACTCCCACATGGTCAACTGCCGTTCGAGTCCCGGACCTGGTGGCTTTAAATCACAGCAAGTGTGTGTGTGCCCAAAATCCCAGAAGGAGAATGGAGAAGAAGGGATTACAGCATGGCCATCTCCGCTGGGAGGGGACGGGTGATTTCTTTTTTTTTTTTTTTTGGAGAGGTTTTTCGCTATAGGGCGCGTGCGCTCGCCAGACAGACAGAGAGAGACATAGAGACAGAAAGCGAGAAATCCCCCCCCAGGGGGGATGGTCACGCCGCCATCCCTTCTCCTCCATTCTCCTCTCGGGATCTTGGGCACGCACGCACACGCGCCGGGCGTGAGATTTAAGCTCCCGGGTCCAAGACGCGAACCGCGGTCGACTACGTGGGAGTCCAGCGACATAGCCATTACGCTAACTGCTGGTTCCCGGGACAGGTGATTTCTCACTTTCCCTCTCACTATCACTTTCTCGCTCTGGTGAGTGCTTGCGCCCTGTGGCAGAAACCTAAAAATAATAAAAAAAAAGTGTCAGTAATTAATGCCATTTTTTGAACCAAAATGTGCTCTTTCAGTTTTTGGTTAGTGGTGGATTGTGTTGTTTTCAGTTGCCAGAGGGTGCGTTTTCTTGTGAGACAGGGAGAAGGCACATCCCGCCTGGGTGTGGTCACGCTGCAGTCCCCTCTCCACTTGTCTCCCTTTGAGATTTTGGGCACGTATGCACATGTACATGCCTGGTGTGTTTTTTTAACTGGGGCTAGGATTTGAACTGAGGTTGGCCATGTGGGATCTGGCCCCCTTAACTACTGAGCTATGGGGGCAGGCTTCTTTATGTATTGTTTTCTCTCTCTTCCTTTGTGACCTAGCCCCTAGGTACTAGTGACTTCCTGAGTACCAGCTGCTGTGTTGCCACACCTTGTCCTCAGGGCTTTACAGAAACTTTACAAACCCTTTGTAGTCATGGTGACCTTGGCTGACTTTCCTTGCAAATTCTAAGGTCATGTTATTCCATCAGTCCCCAGACTGACTACAGGTGAGTTGAAGGTCATGCTCTTCAGAAACTGTGACTCTTTGCCATCCCTTGTCCCTCCCATTGTGTAAAGAGATCTAGTTGGAGTGGTGTCCATTGTGTGTCCCTTGTCAGTATCCAGATCAGGTGTCGCCTCTCGTTTCCTTGGTTTTTATACCACTTGAAGCCCCTGTGATCATTTATTTATAGAAAGAAACCAAGAAGGGTTTTTGCTTGCTTGTTTTGGTTTTGCCAGAGCACATGTTTGCTCCTTGGAGGCAGGCAGTGAAAGGGGAAGTGAGGAAGAACCTCTCATGGGGACTAGTTATGCTGCAGTCCTTCCTCCTCCATTCTCCATTGTGTTGGGATTTTGTGCCTGGTCTGTTTTTCAAGCTGCCAGGACCAAGAGTTGAGCCTCTGTTGCCCATGTATACCTGGCTTCCTTAACCACCATCCTATGGGATGGGTCCAAGAAGCTTTTTTTTGGGGTGGGGGAGAGGTTTTCGCTATAGGGGACGTGTGCTCACCAGAAGGACAGAGAGAGAGAGAGAGAGAGAGAGAGAGAGAAAGTGAGAAATCACCCCCCAGGGAGAATGGCCACGCCACAATCCCTTCTCCTTCATTCTCTTGGGATCTTGGGGATGGACACACACGTGCCCGGCGTGAGTTTAAGCTGCCGGGTCCAGGACTTGAACCGCGGTCGACTACGTGGGAGTCCAGTGACATAGTCATTACGCTAACTGCTGGTCCCAAAAAGCTTTTTAAAAGATATTTTTTGGGACCAGCAGGTGGCATATTAGTTATGTCACTAAACGCCCACATGGCTGGCTAGGGTTTGAGTCCCAGACCTGGGACCTGAAAGTGAGAAATCACCCCCCAGGGGAGATGGCCACGCCGCAATCCCTTCTCCATTCTCCTCTCGGGATCTTGGGCACGCACGCACACGCGCCCAGCTTGAGTTTAAGCCACCGGGTCCGGGACGCGAACCACAGTCGACTACATGGGAGTCCAACGACATAGCCATTACACTAACTGCTGGTCCCAGCCTTTTTTTTGAGAGAGAGAGATTTTTGCTATAGGATGTGTGCCTTTGCCGGAGAGAGAGAGAGAGCAAGAATCATCCCCATGGGGGATGATCATGCCACAGTCCTTTCTTCTCTGTTCTCCTTTCAGGATTGGGTGTGCATGCACACGTGTGTGGTGTGAGTTTTAAGCCACCGGGTCTGGAACTTGAGCCACGGTCAATTGTGGGATTCCAGCGGCATAACCATTACATGCTATTTTAAATAATAACTTTTTAAAAAGAATTACTTATTTAATTTTATTTATCATCATCATTGTTTTTTAAATTTGACCAGAGAAAGACAGAGAGAGAGAGAGAGAGGAAAGTGAGAAAGCAAGCCACTAGGACTAGGACTTAAACCACCATTGGCCATGTGGGAATCCAGTGCCTTAACCACCATGCCACCTGCTGGCCCCAATAGTTACTGTTGTTTTAAATTTTTTAATTTTTAAAGTTTACTTATTCATTTATTCCATGAGAGAGAGAGAGACAGATAGCTACCCCAGCAAGGTCCCCATGCTGTCTCCACCACAGGGGGACTCCTGACCTTTGCCACTTGGGTCCAGTTTTTACCACTGCGCCCCTAACTGGCCTATGAGGTACTGCCCCTGAACAGCATTCCCTCTGTCCTCAGAACAAGGTGGACACTCCACTCCTTCCTGCATGGTCCTTGGCCCCTGCTCTCCTAACTTCCCCTTCGCTCTGTTCCTGGTGCAGTGCAGGTCGTGGTGGAAACACATGTCCCCGACTTTGGCCAGCTCTGTCACTCAGCCTGGGCCTGGTTGGACAGGCCTGGGGGCTCTCAGGCCATCTCCATCACCTGGCTGCCTGCTGGCACCAAATGGCCCAGGGCAGCCAGGCTCCTGGGTTGGTGACAGGCCCATGTCAGCTGGTATGTCTCAACTTGCCACCGGGGATAGTCATCCTGCCAGGAGGCCAGACCCAGCTTGCGAGGCAGAGTTCCCAGCGTTCAGGCTCCATTGTCTCAGCCCTTATTGCTCCTTCAACTGCATCCCACTTGTCCAAATCCCCATGCCCCAAAAAGTTGCATGACTAAGCCCAGAGTCAGTGTGAGGGATCAGGCAGGGATCTGGCTAGCAGAAGGCCTGCTCCTGCTGGGGTCAGGAGTCATTCACTCCCACTAGGGGCAGGAACTGGGCGGGAATTGGGCGGGGCCTTGTTCTCTCTGGCTGTCAGTAACACGCTCACTCTCTGTAGTTGGTTGCATTTCACACTGGACTCAGCTTGGCTATCCGCTTACGGTAGCCCTCCAGTCTAAAGGTGCTTATAGACAGTTGAGTTAGTAGTGCAGGATGCTGGATCTTCAGAGTAAGGCCATCTGTGGTGGTTCGTGAAATACTCCCGGTCTCAGGTTCTCAGCAGAATGCCTCTTGGCAAGACTTATTAACGGCTTTGGACAAAAAGGACAGGAGTGGCTTGTAGGAAACTGTGCTGGGGCCCGAGTTTGCTTTCAGAAAGTGCTATAGGTCCTTAGGAAAAACTGGGTTGCCATGATGACTTGGCTTTGGGCCTGCACACCGGCATAGTCACCAGGGAAACAAAGATGCAGCTCTACAGGCCTCTGCAGGGTTCGTTACTGTGTCTGGAATCTGATTGGCTCAGAAGAATGGGATTTGTGATGGGAGCAGAACGCCGAGGCTTGCTGTCCCACAGAAACTTCTAGGGTTGAGTGCTGACTGCTCTGGAAACCTGCTTGGACCTTGGTTTACAAACAAGGGAATAATTAGTTACAAACTCAAAAGCTGGGGTAATTTCCAGGTTATTGTGAGATTGGCCTCTGGTTTTTATGCTGCTAAAAACAGGAAACGAGGCAGTGCCTTTGAGCGTGCAGTGTTGTAGTGAGCTGTAAGTGTCCATATAAGGGCAGCTGTGCGGCTCGTGGGAGCAGAACTGTGTTGAATTCTCACAACCAGGCGCTTCCCCAGGAGGTCCCTTGATCCTAAAAGGGATCACAGGCTAAGGGCCTGCTGCGGGCAAGGTGCTGTCCAAGGAGCCATTTCTGGTCTGCCGGCGCAGGCCGAGAAAGCCGTGTGGATGTGTGACCCGCCAGAGCCTGCCTGCCATGTAAGCACTATACACAGCAGTTACTTGTTCTCTCAGGAGACAGATCACTTAGGAGTTATGTGCAGCCTGTAGAAGTTTCCTTTGTTCGTACTTTTTAGCAAACGTATAAACGGAATATTTAGCTTTTGAGTTAGTAACTAATTATGCATGCACGGAGGATCAAAGCAGTTGAACAATAATTGAAAGAATTTTAAACTTCTTTACCATGGTGACAGCTTTAGGCTTGTGATTTCTTGAGTCACTGGCAACTGCTTAAAACATATTCTACAATGTTGTGAAGAAGGCTGAGATAGATTCCTCTCCACGGGCAGCAAGAGTGTGGTTGATTTGGGAGTTGAGGGGGGGCAGTTGGGTTAGTCAACCAACAGGCACCTCTTTCAAATAGCGTTGAACAGGGAGGCTCCTCGAGGGCCTACTCAGCAGGTTGAACTCCCCCAGCACTTCCAGAGTGAGACTCCTGAGCCTTCGAAACATGGCCCGTGGGCAAGAATCCAGATGTATAGTTGTTAAAATAGAATTGGCCAACGGTCTGTCAGGCACTGAAATCTCAGGGCCGGGGCCAGAGTTGTCAGGCTGTATGTGAACGGAGTATGTATGTAGTGGAGGGTCTCGGTATTCATTATTAGGCGATATCTAGCAGGATGGAAAAACAAGAACAGTTTGCCCTTAAGAGGCCCTGACGGTAACTCCTCAGTGGGAAGGAGGATGCCAGGCAGGCCAAGTGTCAGGCCAGAAGCTGCCAGCCTCTCTAGACGGGGGACGGGCACCCATGAAGCTCACGTTGTTCACCTGCATTCTCGGTGTCTGGGAGAAGGCCATGAACACCCTTGGGTGTCTGTGTGCAACTCTGAGCCCTTTCTGTGGGGGGACGCATGCATGTGCTTGGATAGTGCGTATACCTGCAGGGACACCTCAGGGTCCTTACGGTAGCCCTCCAATCTAAAGATGCTTATAGACAAATTAAGCCTTGTTTCTTCACTCTGGAAAATTATCTCTGATGACTTGATTCTAACTGAGGAAAGACAAAGACTGCACATATGAAGAAGTGGTTTCCAGTGGGTGCTGTCTAGGTTATGGCAAGGTGGACTCTTGTATGTTTTGCCAACTGCTTTTAGAAAGCTGTTTGGTGATGAATGCTGAGGTATTTTGCAGTACTTATGTTCGTTCTTTTTTAAGTTTTGCTGTAGGGTGCTTGCACCCACCGAAGAGAGATACAGAGGGCGGGAAAGTGAGAAATCACCCCAGAAATGATGGGCGTGCCGCAATCCCTTCTCCTCCAGTCTCCTCTTGGAATTGCGGCACCCATGCTCCCGTGCCTGGTGTGACTCAAGCTGTAAGGTCCAGGACTTGAACTGCAGAGTCGGCCATGGGAGACCCACCTGCTGGCTCAGTGCTTGTTTAACTCAGCAATTGTACTTCTCAGAGATCACTCCTAAATAATGTGTTTCCTTTTTAGTTTTTGCAATAGAGTGCCTGCACGAGACAGACAGAGAAAGAGAGAAAGTGAGAAATCACCTCCCAGGAAGGATGGCTATACCATAGTTCCTTGTCTTCCAGTCATCTCTTGGTATTCTGAGTGTGCACGCACATACACGAGGTGTGATTTTCAAGCCACTGTGTCCGGGACTCAAACCACAAAGCTAACCACATGGATCCAGTGCCCTGACTTCCATGCCCAGAAAGCTTTGTTCACCACAACAGCGACAGTTATGATCTCCTGCATGGATACAGTAACAACACGAATCAGTGTGATAGGATTCTGAAAGGCTTGTATTCATGAATAGGCTTTTTTGTTTTTGTTTTTAAAAGTTTGTTTCTTCCATGAGAGAAGTGGGTAAATAGAGGGACAGGCTCCCAAGACAGGCCTTTCATGCCATAACCCACCCAGCCAGCCCAGATCATGGGCACGTGTGCAGCAAATGTGCATAGAGGTCCCTGGGAAATGAACTGGGGACTTTCCCTGGGGTCCAGCTGTGTTACCACTCTGTCTCTGTCTTGCCCCTAATAAGTAAAAGTTTTTAGTAACAACTACTCTTACTGTTGTGCATGAAAAAGTGGGATATGCACTATGTTCTCAAGTGATATGAAAATTTCAAAGTAAGGGCTAGCTGGTGCCACAGTGGTTAAAGTGCTAGATTCCCACGTGGCCGACCGCAGCTCAAGTCCCAGACTTGGCAGCTTGCTTTCTCACTTTATCTGTTTTTCTCTGTCGTTCTGTGGTGAGTGCAGTGCCTTACAGCGAAATTAAAATAATAAATAATAATTAAATAACTCTTTAAAGAAACAAAATAAAGTCTAGAAGAAACAGATGTTATTACTCAGGTGCTGGGATTGTGGACTATCTCTGTATTGGGAAATGAACTGGGGACTTTCCCTGGGGTCCAGCTGTGTTACCACTCTGTCTCTGTCTTGCCCCTAATAAGTAAAAGTTTTTAGTAACAACTACTCTTACTGTTGTGCATGAAAAAGTGGGATATGCACTATGTTCTCAAGTGATATGAAAATTTCAAAGTAAGGGCTAGCTGGTGCCACAGTGGTTAAAGTGCTAGATTCCCACGTGGCCGACCGCAGCTCAAGTCCCAGACTTGGCAGCTTGCTTTCTCACTTTATCTGTTTTTCTCTGTCGTTCTGTGGTGAGTGCAGGTGCCTTACAGCGAAATTAAAATAATAAATAATAATTAAATAACTCTTTAAAGAAACAAAATAAAGTCTAGAAGAAACAGATGTTATTACTCAGGTGCTGGGATTGTGGACTATCTCTGTATTTTCCTGGTTGTCTAGTGTAAACATTAGTTGTAGAATTGAGAAGAAGTGTATGTTTTTGAAAACTAGCATGTGTAGACAGCTTGGTGATAAGAGACCTGCCTGTTTTGGGGTTCGTGCTTTATGTAAGCTAGGAGCTGACCTTGCACTGTGGTGATCTCTGGACTGGGTCTCGGTGTGGCGAGGAGGGACTGTGGCTGTGAAGTCCTGCTGCAGCTCCGAGTTGCGACTCGGGACCTGGAGAGAGGTGCACTCGGGGAGCCGACTCCGGCTTCTCTGTGTGAGGCCACTGCTGTCTACCCCCGTGCTCTGTGGTCTGGAAGGTCCTCTGGGCCAGTGTCCGAGAGAGGCAGCAGACCACCGTGCCCACACCTTGTGCCCTGTGCCTGCCACCGTGCCTGCACTGTGCTTGCGCTGTGCTCGCCGCCATGCCATGCCTGTGCCCTCTGCGTTGTACCTGCACCCTCTGCACCATATCTGTACCTGTGCCCTCTGTACCTTGCCTGTGCCCTCTGCGTTGTACCAGCACCCTCTGCACCATATCTGTACCTTTGCCCTCTGTACCTTGCCTGTGCCCTCTGCACTGTGCCCGTGTCCTCTGCACCATATCTGTGCCCTCTGCACCGTGCCCACACCCTCTGTGTTGTACCTGTGCGCTCTGCACTGTGCCTGCTGCTGTGCCTGCACCCTCTGCACTGTACCCGTGCCCTCTGTACCTTGCCTGTGCCCTCTGCACTGTGCCCGTGTCCTCTGCTCCATATCTGTGTCCTCTGCAGTGTGCCCACACCCTCTGTGTTGTACCTGCACGCTCTGCACTGTGCCCGCTGCTGTGCCTGCACCCTCTGCATCGTACCTGTGCCCTCTGCACCATATCTGTGCCCTCTGCACCGTGTCCACACCCTCTGTGTTGTACCTGCATGCTCTGCACTGTGCCTGCTGCTGTGCCTGCACCCTCTGCACCGTACCTGTGCCCTCTGTACCTTGCCTGCACCCTCTGCACCATATCCGTGCCCTCTGCACCGTGCCCGTGTCCTCTGCACCATGCCCACTGCTGTGCTCGCACCTTCTGCACTGTGCCCACACCTTTTGCACCTTGCCTGTGTCCTGCACCATGCCTGTTGCCATGCCTGCCTTTTCTGCCCACAAAGAGACGAGTCTCTGACTAGCCTGGGCCTCACACAATGGTGATGGGCTCAGGAGACACCGCAGATGTGTGCTTTTCGTGTGTAACCCTTTTTGGGCATTCTAATTTAAGACAGACCCAGGACCTTTGATTTTCACTCTCTTACAGGTATAGCAACAGAATTTTTATCTGGGAAATAGAAGCCACTTCTGACCAGTCTTTCTATTTGAGATTCACAGATGGATTCAGTGGAGAGGACAACGAACAGGAGTGAACAGAAATCAAGGTCAGTAACGCCCACTGGACCTTCGGCAAGCCTGTTGCCTGCACGTGGCGTTGTGACGAGACTGCGACTGTCATGTAGCACCTACAGGTGACAGCAGAATAAACCCTGGCCCAACCGGCCATCTCAGGAGCTGTTTACACCCTCTCCTTCAGCAAAGGAAATAATCCAGAAGGCATTTTTCTCCCCTGGAGGTGACCAGGGGAGGTGACCAGAAACTCCAAACTAAGCAGCAAGCAAATAGAGAGTTCACTTCTGAGAGCAGAAGTGCCATGCCCTGCAGGAGGGGATTCTGCCGGAAAGGGACAGTGGGTGCCTGGTGACAGGATGTGAGAGCAGGGGGGTGGTGACTGGTGACTGGGATTGACAGGTGGCAGGACAGCAGCACTTCACCAGGAGTTCTCTTACCTGTCACTATGGGCAGGCATCATCTTGTCATAGTTCATATTTATAAGCTATTTGCAGCTTCAAAGGAATTAGAATTGCTCAGCTTTTGATCTGTCACTCAGGCGTGTGCTTAATACTAGGGGTGGGGGCCCAAGCTGGGACACAGCTGTCTCAGGTCCTGTGTGGAATGAGGGGAATGGGTCACCTCTCAGAAGGGCCGAGGCACGCCAGGGGCAAGCGTGTGTAGCTCAAGGCCGCCCTGCTGAGCCCTGGGGCCCCCTCCCATCTGGTTGGTGTTGCCCACCTGTTGACTTTTCGCCCTCCCTCTCGCCTTTACCTAGAAAGTTTTTGAAAAGCCTCATCCGGAAGCAGCCCCAGGAGCTGCTCCTGGTCATCGGGACGGGCGTGAGCGCTGCAGTGGCCCCAGGGATCCCTGCCCTTTGCTCGTGGAGAAGCTGCATTGAGGCCGTCATCCAGGCTGCAGAGCAGCTGGAGGTGCTTCACCCCGGGGACATCGCCGAGTTCCGGAGGAAGGTGACCAAGGACCGGGACCTGCTGGTCGTGGCCCATGACCTGATTCGGAAGATGTCTCCCGTAAGTCACACACAAGTCCTTTGGTCTGGGTCCTGGCCGGCCCACCTCTAGAAGCTGGCTGAGTTCGTGTCTCCTCAGCAGGGCAATGAGGGCCCTGGAGGGCCCCACTGGGGCGTCCCCTCAGGGTGCCAAGTGAAGACAGGCTGGCACCTGGCTCCACGAGGCTGTTCAAGCACATGGGCGTGCTGTGTGAGGTGGGACTTGGGACGTCCTGCTGCGTCAGGGCACTGTGGCCTGGGTCAGCATGGTGTGGTTTCAGTGGGCCAGCCTGCATCTCTCCAGGGGACAGCGGTTCCCAGGAAGCGGCTGAAGATGGAGAAAGCCGCCTCTTTGTGGAGGGAAGTGACCTGGTTGAGAGGAGGACAGTTGGCCATGTAGGACGCAGTTCCTGAGCGGTGCTTTGAGTTGGTGGGCACTGGGCAGGCCAGGTTGTGTGGGTGCGAGTGCTGGGAGCCACAGTGTGGTCGAGACTCTGGCAGGTGTGGCTCTGTGCGTCTATGACCACGAAGGAAGCACAGTCACCACCTTAGAGCTGGATGGAGGGACCGAGGAGAAGCAGGAAGAAGCCCTGAAAGTGTTGTCAGGAGAATAGGAATGTTTAGGGTGCCACCAACAGATCCCCAAATCTTGGTGACCTGTTTGTGATTGAGAAATCCAGGCGGCAGCCCAAGGCCAGCAGGGCGTGGGCCAGCTGCCTCCCTCGTCACCCGTCTTGGACATGCATGGTCTCCTGTGGGTCGGTCCTCCCTGCAGGGGCCTGCCACACAAGGCCGGGCACCCTTCTGTCCTCCCCTCATCAGCTGGGTCTGCACAGGCTATGCGTACCTTCACTAGAGTCCAGGCACTGTTGGCACTGGGTGACAGTTGAGTCTGGGCGTTCTGTTCATGGAGCAACTGTCCCCAGGGGCAGGGGCCAGCATGTCATGGCCCTGGGCCAGGCCCGGTCTACTACCTGTGCCGTAAATGAAGCTTTCTTCACGTATTGTCAGGCCTGGTCCTGGCTGCCTGGCCCGCTGCTGTGTTCCTGTGTGGCTTTTGGGCTGCAGCAGCAGCAGAGCTGGGAAGCGGCTGCTGACTGTGGCCTGCGAGACTGGAAACACTCACTCTCTGGGCCTCGTAGACAGAGATTTCTGACCGCTCTCGGGAGGAGCAGCAGAACTGAGGACCAGACAATGGAGCAACAGGCAGTGAGGGAGGCCGTTGCAGCAGGGGTGGAGAGGGCGGGCTTTTGTGGGCACTGAGGCTGTT